CACTAAGAGTTAAAAGTATCCTATATGTTAACCCGGATAACCAGTTACCAATACCAGCATACCAAATTTCATTAAAATATGTCCCATAGTTTTCTCGTGATACGTTTTCCCAGACATACAAAAATTCTAAAAACTATCGATTCGGCCTCTGTATAGATAATAATGACTATTTCAATAAGATTTAAAAAATATATATTTAACCTACCGATTGTTTCGATGTACCTACAGATTCGACTAAGTTGGAATTTTATATGTATAGATTAATTGTATATTTAAGCTTTCTTCTATCCCTTTCTATGCAAAAATAATTTTAATTAAAATTTACTTCTTATCCAATTTATTTCTTATTTACATGCAATATGTGCTATCTGTTTTTATTGAGGATAGTAATGGTTATTTCGTAATATATAGATGTATTTATTTTTCAGATCCTAAGCCGTTCTTGGTCTTGTTTCGCTCTGCTTCGGACCATGTACGATTAAAATAAGAGTTATTTTTATCGAAACTTAAATACTGTTTTATTAGTAGATTTTATGGAATATTTAGATGTAAGCAGTTTCATAGAAGAACACCAGTAATTTATTTATGTCCATTTAAAGTAGTTTTCTAAGTTTTCAAGCTTTGGAAACTAGATTTTTCCACTTTTGCTGCAACTGAAGTAGGATAATATGTTATTCAATTCGAAAATTATTGCAATACAATATTTAATTATATTCATAATAGAAAATAATAAAATTATAGAATTAAGACCAATAAAAATTGAACCAATCAAGCTTTTATATCATTTAAATTGTGTCATGTGATAAATAGGTGGATTTGTTTTAATTTACAGCTTAATTTCTTCTTTTCAGAGCATTTAAATAAAAACTTATTTTTAAAAATGTTTTTCCCTATTAATTTATTTTTTTATTTTATAGTTCCTTTATTCGTATTCTTCGCAGCAAACCCATTCATTTTATATCCATATCATGCGGGTGCATAAAAAAACATAGTCCGCCATCTTCGGGAGTCCGCCATGTTGGATTTACAATAACGTCACTTACCATGCATTGTCATCAAAACTAAACGTGTTTGCAAAATTTTAGCTCAATCGATTGAAGATAACTGCTTTGAAATTCAGTTGAAAGATTTGACCCGAACAAATATACAAATATTGCAAAAGTGCTGACGTCACGGTTTTGATATTGTTAAAAAAGTTGTTTAGACCGCTGTTTTTAACAACGTCATGACAGATGACGTTATAAGCTATGTCAACAGATTTCTTAAGACATTTGTAGTGTTTCAAAGAAAACAATAAGTATTTATTGCATTTGCAGTTATTTATTTCATGTAATAGACAATCTTGGGATAAGGATTATCTAAAATGATGACAGTTTGTGACGTCATTCCAATTTCCAAATGTTTTAAACAACTTTCTTATCTGTTTAAAAATAAAAAAATAAAAAAAAACATTTGCAACTATATATTATATTTTTTACGACGATATAAACAATGATTTAAAAATAACAATAATATGTAAAATATGTACATATAATTGAGCTACATATAAAATGTAATGTCATGTATAAATTAAAACAAGTATAAATTCAACAATGTATGAAACAATTAATTAATTGATGTAATCTTCCATATATGAAGTATTTATACGATACATTAACGTACGTTTGGTATTTGTTCGTGATAGATATTAAAATGTTATCTTTGTTTGCATTGCATGTGTTTGATAATGAAATTTTTGAGATATTCTATTTTCGATGCAAAACCTGCATGCACTTTTACAAAGTAATTGATTGAAAAAAATTTTTTTTTACAATTTTAGGCACTCCACCAGGTAGTTATGCAAATCAAAACTACAAAGGATCTACACCTTTTTAAACCTATAGACTTTAGCTCTAGATCCTCACTTTATCTAAGCAGAACCCTCCTTCAATCAAAAAAAATAGTGTCTAACTACAAGTGCCAACTGCTTACTCACAAGTAGCCCATGTGTTAATCCAGGTCATAGCCTATCTGTAGGTATAGTAAATTTTATATTGTATTAAACATACACACACTCATACAAACTCATAAGAGCATGTAATAGTAGTCTTACAGTTAAAGAAAAAATCGATAAGCTTTTAAAATTTTAATAAAACCCCTTATAAACTACTTAAGTAATCACTGCAACCGTAAAATCAAGACAATGGCAGCATGTAACAACCAATTTTGTAACAACTTATATGTTTTTAATATCAAGGCTTATGATCGGACAATTTTTGAAATTATAACTAATTACTAATTAGGCAGAAAGAAGAATGACTACAACGTTAAATAATTAACGATTACTTGATTTTATTATATTTTATTTAGTGAAAGTTGTTATCTAAGTTTATAGTTGAAGATAATTTTTAGAAATCATGTCTGTTTATACTTAAATGATAAAACACCTGAATTGCTACTTTCACTAAACCTACTACTATCTAGTATGATATGATTTACGATTAGGTCATTTGCAAAATGTGAGGGTGTTAGGTACATACATACATGTCTTAATACTCTATGCCTCCTTTAATAACCGAGAAGATAATACTTTCTTAGATTACGCGAATATTTGACATTTTAAATAAAACTATCTTTTCGGATTATTTCGCGGATTTATTTTGATGTTTGGTTCCCGAAGTTTCGAATGCTTTACAGCATCCATGGTCACGGGAGAGACAGGTGTTACATGTCTTGAAGGTATAGTTGTTACAGACAGCCTACCCACAATTAACAAAACTAAAAACTTTAAACATTTTTATAATTTTATAAATTATAAAAAATGTTTAAAGTTAAAAATATTGTAAGGTAATTTTTGCAATTTTCATTTTGACGTCACAAACTCGCAATTCACAAACTCACAAACTTTACTACTCTTTATAATATTAGTAGGTATAGATAATTTTAGCCTTTAAAAAACCTTGTAGAGTGGTCGCGTTTTGTTCTCTGTCAAATCTATGAAAATCTCGTACTCAAGCATTGTCTTGAAAATAAGTGTACCGTAATTACATGTTATAAAAAATATATTTCTTAACCCTCATTCGTACATTTTTCGTGACATTCGTGGATTTGTAGTCACTAGGATCATACAGTTAATATTTTTTTCATCTTTTTATGAAAAAAGTTTTCACTTCAAAAAATATCTCTCATTTACGATTCATATATGATATACAGTAAAATATTCAGTTTTATGTTTGCATACATAGTGTTTTCAAACTTTATTCACTTACTAGCGGCTCACTCTAGCTTCGCTCGGGTTCGCCTCTAGGAAAACATGTACAAATCTATCCCTCGGGAACTGTATATTTTTGCGGGATAAAAAGTAGCTTATATGTTATTCCAGACTATAATCTATCTCTGTGCCAAATTTCATCCAGATCTGTTCAGCCGTTCTGGTGTGAAAGAGTAACAAACATACATCCATACATACATTCTTACAAACTTTCGTGTTTATAATATTAGTAGGATGGATTCGATGGTAAAATTAGTCTTCATTCAACTTTTAATTACAGGCAAGCCTGATAACTGATTGGCACTTAAAGAGAATTTAAAAACAAAATATTTTTTATAACGAAGCAGAATACGAAATACTTAATTTATTATTCTTTTTGTTTTTAAACCTAATAATGAATTCTGTTTACAGTCAATACACAAATGATTCTCATTAACTTTCCAGTCGTCAAAAAGATAAGTGCTAAAATTTCATAGAATTGACCAAATAATCTTAAATCTATATAAAATGTCCCACAAAAAAAATGAATTTGACGTTTTGATAAAATTAACTAAAAAAGCTTTCTTAATTTCGGGGATAGAAATTGGTGAATCAAAGTATTCAAATATGGTAATATTTAAATGGTTATATTATTTTAATTTTATTTGGGTACACACCGATGTGTTAGGGGAATTTTCGTGGCTCTTCGAGGGCATTGGTATGGGGAAAAGTTTAGATGAGCTTTCTCTGGTTGCCCCATGCACCACCATGTGTCTTTTGGCCACAGCAAAAATGACGAACATGTACTTTTATAGAAACGTCTTAGAATCTGCTGTGTCGAAATTGAGGGCTTTACACCCTTTGGATTTGAAAGAAGGCAGTTTCGAAAGTCAAGTTGTAAGAAAGTCTATGAGATTTCTGCGTTTAATAATTCTTTTCCTAACTTCATGTTCCACAGTGGTAGTTATTATTTTTTCGGCATCGCCACTTATTTTGATGGGATACGATTATTATCATTTGGGACATACTGAGCTGAAGCTGGCATTTTTAACAAATTATTTCTTTGATTCCTACGCCAGTGTACAGATATGGAGTTTTGTGTATTTTCATCAAGTTTGGTCCAGTAAGTATTTGCAATTTATAATTTTGTTTCTTTAGTTTGTTCTTCTTGTACTTCTAAACATTGCAAGTTTGAATTTATGTTTGAAATAATTGATTACGAAATGAAGCAAGATTTAAATATTTCTAGTGGTTAGTTCGTAGGTCCAGCTTATGTTTGATTTTTTCTTATTGACAATGAAATGTATTTTGGGATTTATATTGATTAGTTCGTTAGTCTAGTCCTAACAGTATGTACAAAAAACTGTTGCTACCTATAAAATAATGACAGCCATTTGATATATGATTACTAGCAGAACTCGCGGCTTCGCCCGCGTTCAATTTTTTACAAAACTTTATGTTATATAGCGAAACACCGTCGCTTCGATCGGGTTCGTCCCCATGTATTTATATAATATTAAATTATTTGGATATTGTTCATACAAAAATACTAAAATCATGATTAAAAAATGGGAGTAGGAGGGTGAAAAACACTTTACGACCTATTCTCATACCTACCAAACTGTGACACGAGAAATTTATATATTAGATTTATTTCTTAATTTTAGCTGGTATTGTGGCTTTAAATGTTTTTGCAACGGATACCTTATTCTACGCATTCTGCACATACCTACAAATGCATTTCAAAATACTCTGCCATGATTTTGAAAACATGGTATGTGATTCGGACGATGAAACGAGAGAGAAGCTTAGGAAATGTGTTCGACGTCATCAGGAATTGATTGCGTTAGTTTTTTTTTTATTAGTACAAAGCAAAGACAATAATACTCATGAAAACTTTTTAATAAAAAAGTTAAAACCGACAAATAAAATTAAAAAAAACACTAAAAAGTAAAAAATAACTGATTGGTAATTTTTATTTAGTATACCTAATCAAATATTTTCGAAGTCGGTGTGCAATTGTGTGTCGGCTAATATTTGATTAGGTATCTTTAGCAAATGAAAATTACCAATCAGTTATTTTGTACTTTTTAGTGGTTTTGTTTTGAAGTCGGTTTTAATTTTTTTTGTTAAAAAGTTTTTATTTTTCCCTTTTTAGTGTAGACATAGTAGTAGCAAAGTAAGAAGAAAGTAATTTAATAAAATATTCGCTTAAGTCGTTTAAGTAAGTTTGATGCCAATTTTTATATAAAGACTGACAAAATAAAATTCGGTTTTATTAGTAACACTAAAAATTATGTCTCTAAAATCCAATTCTAACGTATTGGGTTTGTCAAATCAAACAAAATAAGCCCAAACTCAAAGTATCTACTATTACCCGTTGAAGAGTTTCACCTATCCACCTTCTGGCATTACCATCAAATCAGGTCGAGTATACCGAACCACTGCACTATCAACGAAAATAGAAAAACTTGCAAAGTTTCAAGTCAATATGACAATTAGAAGTAGGCATTTTTTTTTAAAATAGGACCAAATTGGAAATATACGCTTTCAAACAAAACAAAAATTGTCCAAATCGGTTAATAAATGACAGAGTTCTGAGGTAACAAACATAAAAAACAGCCGAATTGAAAACCTTCTCCTTTTTGAAGAAGTTGGTTGAAAACTGTTGATTTTACTTTTGATAGGTATATCCTAAACACATTTTAGAAAGACATACATAAACCTATAAAGAATATCAGTACATCACGTAAATCCAATTATGTTTTTAATTATTTAGTATTTATTATTTTATTATATTATTATTTATTTATTGGGATATTTTTTGAATTAAAATTAATTTACAGGTTAGTTGATCAAATGGAGGTGTTGTACTCTAAATCTAATTTAGTCAATATTTTGAGCAGTTCACTACTTATCTGCTTGAGTGGATTCAATATAACGGTAAAGAGTATTTATCTAATCGTTTTTTTTCACATTTCTCTATTAAGTTACGTAAAATTAAAAAAAAATATAAAAGCTTAAAAAAAGATTTAATAAGGTTCTTGAACTATTACAATTTAAGTTCATACCATATGTATTATAGTTGCGAAAGTTTGGACGGATTTTTGTTACTCAATCACGCCTGAACGGCTGAACGGATCTGGATGTAATCTGGCACAGAGATAGATTATAGTCTGAAATAGCATATAGATACTTTTTATCCCGAGAAAATGTACAGTCCCCGTGGAATAGATTTGTTTTCCACTAGGAACGAACCCGAGCGAAGGAAGAGTGAGTTGCTAGTATTAAAATAAATATCATATGAACTTAAAAATATATAGATATATTAATCTATACGAATATTATAAAGAGGAAAGATTTTTATGAGTATGTTTGTTGGCGTAAACTCTGAAGTCGTTGGTCTAAAATACAATTCAGAATTTTACTTTGCTTTAATTAATTGTTTGTATGTTTTATGTTTCATCAATTTATAAATATTATGATGTGATAAAGGTCAAAGGATGTGAAATTATACAACTGCTTTTAATTTATTTATTTTTTTTACTATTCATGACTTTTCAGCTTTTAGGGAGTTCAAATTCAGCTTTCGCCTTTATACCATTCCTGGTCGTGAGTCTTACACAGATTTCTCTCATGTGTTTCTTTGGAGACATGCTCATGGCTTCGGTAAGGCTGATATTAGAAAATTCATATAGATATATCTATTCGTTTGTTGCACTAACGCACTTAAACTATTTAAATTTATTCACAAGTTTTTAAAACAATATATTAATCTTAATATATATATTTCTTGTGTGCGTGTGTATGTGACTGAACTCCTCCTAAACGACTGGACCGATTTTGATTAAATTTTTTGTGTGTATTCAAGGGGATCTGGGAATGGTTTAGATTCACAATTTGAATAATAATTTTCATCAAAAAAATTATAAAAAAAAGTTTGAAATTTACAAATTAAAGACGTGTAGACAGGACAACGTCTGTCGGGTCCGCTAGTAAGATATATAAAATATTACAATTCATGGACGTAATGTATTTTTTTTTTCAATTTATCATATTTTTCTAGCACTATTCTTAACAGAAAATGCCTAGCATATAATACCAATACCTTAAGGTTATGTTAGAAAATTTAAAAAAATCAGGTTAGGTATAATGAATAAAGTTAACGGAATAATAAAATTATTTTTAATATTATTTACCGATTTATTAATTTATATCAATTATGTTAGGTACTATAATATTTATAGATGGTCTCTAAAATTGTACTCATTAGTATAATAATTTTGTAGAGCACTAAAATCGGTGGTGCAATTTACAATTGCCGCTGGTACGACACTACTCCGGATATCAAGAAAAGTGTTATTTTCATAATGCTTAGGTAAAGACATTTTTATTACATACACATCTATATATATATATATATATATATATATATATATATATATATATATGAATCCCTATTTCCCTTGGTCACGCCATCACGCGTGAACGGCTGGACCGATTTAACTTTTTTTTTTGTTGTCTTTGTTATTGTCAGGAGAAGGTTCTTATGAAAGAAAAGATTGAAAAATTAACGGAAAGAAAATTAAAATGTATATGGCTAACGCTGGCTAATAACTATTTATATCTAATTAAAACGTACCTAGCGACGAACCCGAGCGAAGCGAGGGTGAGCCGCTTGTATTTATATAAAAACACGTTAATATTTTTGCCAAAAATATAAGTTTGTTGCTTTTTAAATAAAGTACTAAATCTATATTAATAAATGGAGAGCCGACTTTTTTGTTCGGTTATACTGCGATAACTACTGAACCGATCGGAATAATACTCATACCATAAGATGCAGCGTGTTTCGGAGAAGGTGATATGTTGGTAATTAATATACAATGCGGGCGGAGTCGCAGGAAAACGCAAGTTGTATAATATTCCTTTTAAAACTAATTTGTAATCTATAATAACAGGTTTTTACTAAATGTATATGAAAGTATATATGGTATGGTATACTATTAAGAAAAAGTAATTTTTCATTTTTTTGTCTAATCTAATTTCTTTCTGTCCGTTCGTCTGTCTGTCTGTCTGTTTGTTCCCGCTAACCTCCGAAACCGCTGGACTGATTTTGACGGGACTTTCACTGGTAGATAGCTGATGCTCTATGAAAATAAAATACAATTTTTGGTCGCACTATCGCTTTACCTCTTTCTAGAGAGTGATCAGTTCCTTAAGGGTATAGTATCATCGTACATCTCTTATTTGTGTTAACGCAGTCGGTCCTAATTTATCTTATTTAAAATATCCAATAGATTATAAGCAAAAAAAATATATCTAAATAGATGATCCGTATTATTTTAGGTCTAAAAAACCGTGTAAAATAACTGCTGCAAACTTCGCCGTGATGAACCTAACAGCGTTTACAACGGTTTGTATTATGTATACTTACTTGTAACCATATATTCTCATTTTTACTTTTATTCGAGATGCACACACGCCACCGAATATTTTTTGCTTCACAATTCGCCTCGCATAAGAACGACATTTTTAGAAAAAATCTTACGTTTTTAGGTTTTATTTAATCCCTCCACGACCGCGGACACGCCGGCGCGGTTACAGTTAACAATAGATTTCTTAGAAATTTCATTAATTTCCTAGAAATTTACCTGTAGGTGTTACAGTTTCTTAGATATATCCATTATTTTGCCATAAAACCGTCATTATATTTACTTATAATCTGACTGAGTCGTATCTGTACATTAAATATTTTTTGGAGAGTCTTATTGAAATAGACATTACTATCGATACAGAGGCCGAGTCTATAGTTTTTAGAATTTTTGTCTGTCTTTCTGTCTGTCTGTTACCACATCACGGAAAAGCCACTGGAAGGATTTTGATGAAATTTGGTATGATGGTAGCTGGTTATCCAGGTCAACATATAGGATACTTTTTACTGCGGGAAAATATCTAATCTCTGAGAAATCTATACTAAACGTTAAAAAGTACGAGTTAAATACATATTCCTTAAAAAGTTTGTTGAAACATTTTCAAAATATTCCCACGAACAGTTTCTCCATTCATTTTTATACATTTAGTAAATAAATATTATTTTACCGTTTTTTATAAAAACGGTAATTTCGAAATATCAAAAAATCTTTATCAAATATCATAAAAAACACTGTGAGACGGTATACATAATAAAAACTTCTTAACTATTGCCTGTCAATGCTAATTTTACTCCGATTTAATTCCGCTTATTAAAATACACGGAATACCGCTTAGTCCATATATTTTCATATTACACTATTGTGTCAACTGTTATTTTAGAATTTTTGTAGAATGTATCTAATTAGTTTGGAAGAGGTTGCGGAATCCGTCCTGGTTGAGGTAAAATTTTCTATTTTCATCTTTTAAAATTTTAAGCTAAACAAATATACATATTGCATATATAGTTACATTATTATATTATTGGTCAGTGATTTCGAAATAGCCTCAGCCTGGGTTAATTAATCTATGTAGAGACGCAACCGAGCGAAGTGAGAATAGGTTAGTCGCTAGATAATAAATCTATAGGTAGGTACATATAATAAAATTCTAACTGTGCCGAATCTGTACATGAAATATTTTTTGGAAAATCTTATTGAAATAGACATTATTAACGATACAGAGGCCGAATCTATAGTTTTTAGAATTTTTGTCTGTCTGTCTGTTACCGCATCACGGAAAAACCACTGGAGGGATTTTGATGAAATTTGGTATGGTGGTAACTGGTTATCCGGGTCAACATATAGGATACTTTTTAACGCGGGAAAATATCTCATTTCTGAGAAAAAGTACAAAAATTGGAATGTAAGACTGTAATGTAAGAGTATACTAATATGTAAAACCTAAGAATTTGGTTTTGGTCATCTGAACGTGGGCGGAGCCGCGGGCAATGCTAGTAAGTAATAAATTCTCACTCGAATTCTCTATCTGCTAGAGAAAAAAAACTTTAAACTTTTCTACTGCTAAGATTTTGTTGTTCTTTAGTATCATGCTAATAACCACATGAACTTAATAATAAATAATAATAATAAATATGTTGGGACATTAACACACTTCACCATCTAGTTCCATGGTGAGCTACGAGGTTTGTGTTATGGATACCAGATAATTGATACACTACACATATATAAATTTGAATACATACATATTATAAATATAAACACCCATGACTGGAGTACAAACATTCGTGCTCATCACACAAAGGAATGTCTCCAGCGGGACTCGAACCCGCAACCGCTGGCACGCAAGTAGCACTACAAACTGAGCCAAGCGTGTCAAATGACGAAGATGCTTAACAATAGGCAGTGTCTTTCTTCATGTTATAGTCAATCTATGTTTTAAGTTCCATCCAAATCTGTCAAGCTATTTCAGAGAGAAGGAGCAACAAACATACATACACATAGTAGTAGTAGTAGTCCAATAATAGAAATTTACATAAAATTTTATATACATATTTGTACTAGCCTATTTTAGCAAACGTTATAGAACTTACTTCTTTTGGCACATTTAGAAAAAAATATGAGAGTAAAATTTTTACGATACGCTCGCACACCGACAGCCAAAAAGCGACATGATGAAGTAACTGCATTCCTTTTACAAACAGAGAGTTGTGACATACGGGATGAAATCTATAGCTATTTTTGTTCTGTTACGCCAAAGAAGTATAACTTCTTACGTGCGTACATAAGTACATACACACGTTTTTTTTTATTCTCATTCACGCGGGAATAGCTAGAGGCGAAAGTTAGTTCACAACAACAATGTAAATAGCTAAAAACAGAATATTAAATTAACATTCTCTCTATCTTTCTAATGTAAATAAGCTTTTTAAATTATAATGCTTTTAATGATAAAGCACTAATGATAAGTCGTGTCTTCGTTCGCATTGAATAACGTATTTTTTGTTCTTTCCTCTGACGTCAGTTCATTAGTACAATTAACGATTATAGAATGTAGATTTATCACAAAAACATAAAACTTTCATACTATGAAAAAAGCTCTTAGTGTTGAAACGCGTTTACTAGTTAATACCACGCGATAGCTTTTTTTTATTCATTTTTTAATTTTAAGTATAATATACACTATCAATTGAAAAGGTCGAAGTATAAACCAGTGAGGCGTTTTAAAATAAGGTATTATCAGTTTTAAATGTTACATTACAATTAAAAAAGTTACGACGTACCGTCCTTACCTTTTTTTTCGGTCTTTACCGGTATTTTTTTTTTGTGTAACACACAAAAGAAAGTTAATTTTAAGGCTTTTTCGAAAATATCCGTAGATATTATCAACACCTGTATCGAACCTCATTGTAACTTAATGTTTAGAGAATTTAAAAATACAATTTAATTTCTTGTATTTCCAAATTTAAGGATGTCCAAAATAGCTTCTTAGATGCAAAAATCTCTGCCGCTTCGCCTCTTCGAGTCATCTTCGTCTTGTCAAGTTGATTATTATTATCAATTTATTCACAAACCACATATAGTAGCTAGTTGGGTTTTAAAATTTTTTTTTATAACTTTTAGTTTTAGGTAATATATATCATAAAACGTTTATTTTTATATAATTTGGGAAACAATGGAATTAAGATTTAAGATTTCACTTAATCATTTTATGTAGTTAATTTTGGTTATATGATTAAAAAAAATATGTTTTTCAGTATTTCTCCAAAAAAATTAAATTTGCTTGGCAGCAGCTCAGTTCAGCAGCAATCGCACCTTTTAAACTGTCTTTCGTATATCTTCCTATTTCTCACCTTGTCACCTTGATATTTTTCTTAAAAGCAATGCCAAAAAAATATAACCGCTGACATTGCACTTTTATATTATTTAGTTATTACGAGTATTTATTACTAGTATTTTATGTTTAAGAAAATAATATAAAAATTTAAAAATCCTATTCGAATCTGTACAGCCATTTTCGAGTGAGGCACGTTTTGAGAGACAAAATATGGTTTTAATATATTTATCTTTAAGTAGATTATCTCCAGCAATAAGGTGGACAGACAATTTATGTATAAATATTATTAGTATGTACCGTCTGTGTCATTTCCTGATTAGTTCACAGCTAGATATAGTTAACTGGATGCGAGTCTATTTTGAGATATGATTCACTGGAATTTATCCTTAATTGTACTGCTGCTATTGAGTTGCACACTTGAGTCTTAATAAAGAGAACGTTTGTTTTGAGATCAAATTATATCTTTGTATTAGCTTGACCTAAAATTCTAACAAAAAAAAAACTGTAGAGCTACTTGATAGAACGGAGATGACTCTTCTGCCTATTAGGTATCTTACAAGCTACTTTACATCGATCCATAGAAAAAATCACTCAAGGTTAGATAAATTGCTATGCTTTTTAATTGTTGGTATACTTTTTTAGATAGGGTTACTTTACAGATAATAATTACGTAAATTTATTATTTAAATAATTTTCACGTTTCTACTATTGCCACGTTTTAACGTTTAGTATAGATTTCTAAGAGATGAGATATTTTCTCGCAGTAAAAAGTATTTTATATGTTGACACTGATAACCAGCTAATATCATACCAAATTTTATTAAAATCTGTCCAGTGGTTTTCTCGTGATGCGTTTCCAGACAGACAGACAAAAATTCTAAAATTTATAGATTCAGCCTCTGTATCGATAATAATGACTATTTCAATAAGATTTTATAAAAAACTTTTTTTTAAAAAAAACGACTTCCAGGCACTAAAATGTAAAAAATAACTATACGGGGGTTTTCATTTAGAATAGATACCTAATCAGATATTTTATTAAGTCGGTGCCAGCCGACGCATAGGAAATCTAATATATTTCGATACGTAAAACATGTATACATATTTATCTATTAGATATTCATATCTTAAAATATTGTCCACTGGCACCGACTTCGAAAATATCTGATTAGGTATCTATTCTAAATGAAAATCCCCGTTTAGTTATTTTTTACATTTTAGTACCTGGAAGTCGGTTTTTTTTTAGTTTTTATATTTATATTTTTAATGGAGACGTAATAAGCAGGTAATTTGTAGGAAGAAACTTTTTAATAACATATTCGATTAAACAATTTGTTTAAAAATATATTTATTGTTGATTTTTTTAAAAACCACTCGACCGATTTCGATCAAATTTATATGGGTCCACCTGGGAAGTATACCCTTTTAAAAAAATTCCAAATCGGTTCAGGTGCCTTCAAGTAATCGGTGAACATACATAAAAAAAAGATTCCGACGAATTGAGAACCTCCGCGTTTTTAGAAGTCGGTTAAAAAAAAAAGATTCCGACGAATTGAAAACTTCCTCGTTTTTTGGAAGTCGGTTAAAGAATACTCAATATACAGATTCCACTCAGAATTTTATTATAGGTAGGTATGGATGAATTGTAAATATTTAAGCTTTCTTTTATCCTTATTTGCTTCTTGAGTCTTTTTCTTGAAATGGAAATACTCGTAAGTTTTCCGTTTTGTTCAAAATCTGCTGTTCGCGCTTTGCCTTATTTAGTGTATTTGGACTTGTGTCTATTTCCAACGATGCACATTAGATGGCCAATTCTAAGTAATATATTTTCAATACACATATATGTGGTCTGGGTATATTTTTATACACCGGAGGTCGTGGAATCGAGCTTTCTAATTTCTATTAACATTTACTTATATAATTTATTTCTTATTTGGGTTACAATATGTAATATCTGTTTTCATTGACGATAGTAATGGTTATTTTATAATATATAATATTTATTTTTCAGATCCTAAGCCGTTCTTGGTCTTATTTCGCTCTGCTTCGGACCATGTACGATTAAAATAAAAGCGTTATTTTTATCGAAACATAAATTAATACTGTTTTATTAGTACATTTTCTGAATTATTTAGATGTTAACAATTTTGCAGAAGAAAACTAGTAATTTCTAGAGTGTAGTCATAAGGTAAAATTTATGTCCATTTAAAGTAGTTTTGTTACTATTCATACTTTAGAAACTAGATTTTTCGACTTTTGCTGGAACTGAAGTAAGGCATGTTATTCACATCGAATATTATTGCAATAGAATATTAAAAATTTTAAATATATAAAATAGAAATTAATAAAAATTATAGAATAAAAACGAAAAAAGATGTGTAATGTTATAAATTGATCGGTTTGTTTTATTTTTAACGTTTATTTTCTTCTTTTTAGAGCATTTAAATAAAATATTGTTTTAAAAACGTCTTTTTTTTTATTAATTTATTTTTTATTTTATGTTTTTTTATTCGTATTCTTCTCAGCCAGCTAATTTTTTTGATATCCATATCATCCGTCATCTTCGGGAGTCCGTCATATTGGATTTAGAATGACATCACTTAGCTAACCATGAATTGTTATCTAAACAGAACGTGTAAGTATACAAAATTTCAGCTCAAGCGGTTGAGCATAAATGTTTAGAAATTCTGTTACAAAATTTGACCCGAACAAACATACAAACATTTCAAGTTAAATAAAAGCTTGTAAAATGTCTAAGATGTAGTTTCCTCAAGACGTGATAGTTACTATATTTCTCATGCAGACTGAGACAAATTCCTGTACGACCAATACTAATTTCCAGGTAACTCTACAAGAACTTCTTGGGATAAAACTAGTCTATCTCATTATCTGGCGTATAAACTGCTTCTATGAAAAAAAATAAGATTTGCTGTTGTTGCTGCTGAATAGAAGGACAAACCAACAGATAAACACCAATTTATTACTTATTTCCCATTTATAATGTCAGCCATCATGTTTGATATGAAGCTTATACTAATGGTAATAAATTACAGTTTTCATGTTGGTCATAAACAAAAAGACACACATATATCTAATTAAAGCTAAAACGCTACATGCTATTGGTGCACGCAATACTGAACTATGTATTTTACGACGATGTTACCTCTTCGATTTTTTTAATAAATAAATAATACTTTTTAATTATTTTTTTTTTATAATTTTCAGTAAGTAAATTATTTTTTAGATACCAACAGTTAAAAGTATTGGTTTCATAGAAAAATAAATAGCATGGCTTAGAATTCCTTTAAAAAGTACTATACTTGATAATAGGTACGTTTTAAATAGTTATAAATAGTTATTAACCAGCGTTAGCCATATAATTTTTTTTTCGTTATTTTTTCATTTTTTCTCTTTAAATTATTACTAATAATAATACTATATAAAATTAAAACCTTCCGTGAATCTTAAGGAACGTACGAAAAAATTTTTTTGCCGAATTGGTCCAGCCATTCTTGAGTTATGCGCTTACCAACATTCATTTTTATTTATATAAGAAGATAGGCAAATACAAAAAGGTTCAGTACCTTCTTCTTCTCTGTTTGTCAAAAGATTTTTTATTATACTTATTTATTATATATTTTATTTTTGAACGAATTATAAAAAATCACGCAGCCGAAGCCAGATTCAGACAGGCAAATGTACATATAATAAAGAGCTATAATATATTATTAGTGTAGATACAATAATTATAGATCCTGATTTCATCTTATATGAATTGGATATAGCGTTAGTATTTTAAGACGTGGCTCAAAGGAATTTAGCTGAATAGAGCCGGTTGTGCTAGAAATCTTAGCTATACGAGTACATATAATAAAATTGTAACCAAGCCGAATCTGTACATTAGGTATTTTTTGGAAAATCTTATTGAAATTAACATTATTATCGATGCAGAGGCCGAATCTATAGTTTTTAGAATTTTTGTCTGTTTGTCTGTCTTACTGTCTGTCTGTTACCGCATCACAGAAAAACCACTGGAGGGATTTTGATGAAATTTGTTAAGGTGATAGCTGGTTATCCGGGTCAACATATAGGATACTTTTTACCGCGGGAAAATATCTCATTCCTGAGAAAAAATACAAAAACTGCAATGTAAGAGCATACTAATATGTAAAACCTAAGAATATGGTTTTTGGTTATTTGAACGCGGGCGGAGCCGCGGGCAATACTAGTTTTACATATAAGAAGACTTTAAATTATGTTGCCTAAGGCTTATACATATGATTAAAATAAAAGAACGTGAGAAAACAAATTTGAAATCATCCGAAAATAATTAATTCTCATATGAACTCCATTAAAACCATACGAATATATTGATGTGAACTCTGTCAGTACTACGTTTTCACTTGCAAAAGTTTAATTAAATCTGGCCCACGATTTGCTTTTTTATTATGATTATTGCTGTTAATATTTTTTACATTGTGTAACCAATTTTAGAGTCGCCCATTATTATATTATTTGTTGACATAAAACTTTTTAAGCTTATCAAATTTATATAACCTAGCATTGCCCGCGGCTCCACCCGCGTTGAGATGACCAAGAGCCAAATTCTTAGGTTTTACATATTAGTATATTCTTACATTGCAGTTTTTGTATTTTTTCTCAAAAATGAGATATTTTCCCGCGGTAAAAATTTTCCTATATGTTGACCCGGATAACCAGCTATCACCATACCAAATTTCATCAAAATCTCTCCAGTGGTTTTTCTGTGATGCAGTAACAAACAGACAGACAGACAGACAGACAGACAGACAGACAGACAGACAGACAGACAGACAGACAAAAATTCAAAAAACTGTAGATTCGGCCTCTATATCGATAATAATATTTATTTCAATAAGATTTCCCAAAAAATATTTACAAGTACAAGTTACAGTTCTATTATATGTATAGATGATCATTTAATATAAAAATAATACATAGATATATAGATATTTTGGACATATGCAAAATCATTGTTTTTTTACTGACTAAGAGACAGTTATTAATTTTTATACTGGGAAAATATTTTACTTAAAATGTTCATAATATCATGAAAGACGGGGAGGTTATTGTAATAAAATATAAAGCCAACTGATCGTGCATCACGCAAAAATGTTACAACATGAACCTTTATAAAAGCAAAATAAAGGTTATCAAAATTATTTATATTAACTTATTATGTATAATTTGCATTAAACAAGGTTAAAAGTGCATGATTTTATATAAGAGTCACATACATATTATGGACTTTTTTAGGGTTCCGTACCCAAAGGATAAAACGGGACCCTATTGCTAAGACTCCGCTGTCCGTCCGTCTGTCTGTCTATCTGTCTGTCTGTCCGTCTGTCACCAAACCAACCAAACAAAACCAAACTTAAATAAATATTTAAGGAAGCTCCCGTATGGGAGCTCCCGTTGTATCAACAAATGTGATTTTTTTGCTCGTTTTTGTTCGATATTGATAACGACAACCGGTAGAAGCTTGAAATATTCACAGAATATTTAGTTATATATACACTTTAAACATAAATCATTAAATTAAAATAAAACAAATTTTTAAGGGGGGCTCCCATACAACAAACGTAATTTTTATGCCGTTTTTATAGATAATGGTACGGAACTCTTCGTTCGCGAGTCCGACTCGCACTTGGCCGGTTTTTTTAATATTGTGTATATTATGTAGGCTATATATTCCGAGAGCTGGCGATGAATTTTGGGAAGGTCCTTTTGGCAAGTTGAAATTGTGACAAAATATAATTTCGTGAATTGGCGAGTCCAGTCCCGCGAGTCTGGTATAGCCTTAGCGGTTATTTCGCTACTGCGCAATATACAACATTTGCAAAAAAAATATCCAAAAAAACATATTTTTGCAACTTGATTTTTAATAGCCGTGTGTCTGTACTTAATTTTTACCCGATTACGGCGAAGCCCAAAGGAGAGTTATATAAGAGAGTTATAGTTATATTAGAAGCAAGACGCCAACTAGAGAGTCTTTCTATGCAGTCGAGTTCTTTCTTTTTGTAAATTAATTTTTATTTAAAAAACGTGGAAAAATAAGGTATATAATATTTTTTTTTACTGTAAAGGAATATTATCAATTGGTGTTTTTCTTATCAATATCTACCATTATTTTATACGGTTTTTTTTAATGACGTAAATACAAAACTGGAAAATATTTTACAATTGCGAAACTGCTGACGTCAACTGTCATGGTATTGTTAAAAAAGTGATTATGACCGCTGTTTTTATTTTTTGCTAGAAGCTATGTCAACATATTTCTTATGACATTTGTAGTGTTTCATAGAAAAACAAAAAATTGAATATTAAAACAAGAAGTATTTATTGCAGATCTTTATTTCATTTATTAACCCTTTTGGGATTGGGATTTGTCTAAAATGGTGTCAGCTTGTAACGCCATTCCAATTTTCAAGCGCATGAAAATGTGTTTCAAACGACTCTTTATTATCTGTTTTAAAAAATTAAAAAAAATGCATCTATATATAATTTTTTACGACGATATAAACAATGAATTAAAAATAGTAAAATATGTAAAATATGTATATATAATTGAGCTACATATAAAATATAATATTATGTATAAATTAAAACAAGTATAAATTCAACAATGTATGAAACAATTAATTAATTGATGTAATCTTCCATATATGAAGTATTTATACGATACATTAACGTACGTTTGGTATTTGTTCGTGATAGGTATTAAAATGTTATCTTTGTTTGCATTGCATGGGTTTGATAATGAAAGTTTTGAAATATAGTATTTCAATGCAAAATCTGTATGAACTTTTACTAAGTAATTGATAAAAAAAATCTTTTAAAGAAGTTAGGGACACTACCAGGTAGTTATCCAACCCTTAGAAGTCAAACCCACAATTCACAAAGGATCTAGTTTTAACCCTATCTAGACTTTAGCCCTACATCCTCACTTTATCTAAACGGAACTCTTCTTCAATAACCAAATTAGTGTGTGTCTTACTACAAATGCCTACTGCTTACTAACAAGTAGCCCATGTGTTAATCTAGGTCATAACTTATCTGTTTACTAAATTTCATCTAAATCTGTTCAGCCATTTTCACATTTAGGAATATTAAATATACACACACTCATACAAACTTTTATAATAGTAATCTGACAGTCAAGAAAAAAACAATAAGCATTTTTTATTTTAGTACAACCCATTATAAATTACTTAAGTAATTACTGCAATCTATACTAATATTATAAAGAGGTAAAGTTTGTGGGTTTGTGAGTTTGTGACGTTGTAGGGGACAATTGAACCGATATAGATGAAATTTCGTAAGAAGATAGGTAGAGACCCTGGGAAGGACATAGGATACTTTTTATCCCAGAAATCATCCCTTAAGGGGGTGAAAATGGGGATGAAAGTCTGCATGGGGAATCAACCTAGGGAAGAACCCGAGCGAAGCGAGGGTGAGTCGCTAGTTGTTCAATAAAGACAATGACTTAAATAAATCTATTTCTCATATGAGCGATGCGTTAGTCTTTTGAAATTGTAAATAACAATTTAATATATTCGCAATTGCGAAGTTAGGAATTTCTCACTTAAAAGGGTAATTAAATTCTAGAAACATGTGTACGGTCGCAATGCTCGACTGTTTGTAAACGTTGTGGCGCGGGTGTAGTGACGTACGTATGACGTATGTAGGTACTAGGTATAGATGTCTACGTAATGGTACAAAATAACTAAATTTTTGCTAGAAAAATATATGATTCAGGTAAATTTTGTTTTGTTTTTCCATTTATCTATACTATAATATTATAAAGAGGTAAAGTTTGTGAGTTTGTGACGTTGTAAGGGGTAATCTCTGGATTTAGTCAACTGATTTAGATGAAATTTGGTAAAAAGATAGTTTGAGACCCTGGGAAAGACATAGGGTACTTTTAATCACAGAAATCCTCCCTTAAGGTGGCGAAAATGGGGAGGAAAATTCGTAAGGGAAATCAACCTAGGGACGAACCCGAGCGAAGCGAGGATGAGTCGCTAGTATATTATATATCTATTAGTTGATATACCATAATGTAAATAACATATCTATTAAGCTACCACAGGCTCGAAATGTAGTTCTACTAAGATGAGCCGACTTATACCGATGTGCACCATAAAAACTTAAACCAGCCGACAATATTTTAAGATATGAATATTTAATAGGTAAATATGTGTTTTACGTATCTAAATATATTAGGGTTGCTTTGCATCGGCTGGTACCGACTTCGAAAATATCTGATTAGGTATCTATTCTAAATGAAAACCCCCGTTTAGTTATTTTTTACATTTTAGTGTCTGGAAGTCGGTTTTTTTCTAAGTTTTTATTTGTCCATTTTTAGAGTAGACGTAATAAGCAGGTAATTTGTTAGAAGAAAGTTTTTTAATAACTTTTATTATTTAAAAAAATTATTTATTTGTTGATTAAAATTATATTATGACGAACCTACTATATTAATACTAAGTCAAATAATCAAACATTCACGTAAGCTTATATTAATTTTTGACATGATGTAAAGCGTACTCTTCTCTACATATTACCTTAATTCTAAAGAAAAGGGTTCGAACCCACAGCTTTCCTTACAATCGAATATTTTAGTCAGACACATAAAACATAAACTACTAAACATTGTTTAATTACATATTTACACACCATATGCCTGTAAGAGTTAAATCATTAAATTGTAATAAAATTTTGAAGACTGTTTTCTTTTGACTTTTATTACAGCTATACATATAAATAAAATTGAAGTGTCAGTTTGTAATGTCAAAATATCAGCCTTTTACTAAATACATATGAAATTATTTGTGGTACTTAAAAGAAAAACACATTTTTCCAAGCTTTTGTCTGTCTGTCTGTTTGTTCCGGCTAATCTCCGAAACAAGTGGACTGAATCTGACGGGACTTGCACTGGCAGGTAGCTTATGTTATAAGGAATAATTTACGCTAGTTTTATTTTAGAAAAAGAATTACGGTCCCGCTCAAAAAATTAAAACGTACCTAGAGACGCACCCGAGCGTATCGAGGTTAAGTCGCTAGTCTTACATGAAAAAGTTATTATGTATTTATAATGAATTGTATAGTTTATCATCATATGATCATAATGTGAATGTAGAGTCATTACTTAATACCTTTTTTATTTTTGGTACTTATTTTGTACTAATAAGCACATTTTGTTGGTTTGTTTGTATGTCTTTCTTTCACTCAAGAATGGATCGCTATTATTTTTCCATATACAGGCTTATTGGTAAATCGACGCCGTGCCGTGAGGTGTCGTCGGGGTGCCGTCGAGGTGTCGTTGGGGTGTCGTCGGAGTGTCGTCGGGGTGTCAGGGTGTCGGACTGTTGGCGGACCGGCGGGTCGGAGGGCCGGGGTGTCGTAGGGTGGGCTGAAAGGTCTGATGGCCGGTGGGCCACCGCTCGGAGTACCGCCGCTCTAAGGGTCACCGCACTGAGGACCACCACTCAGAGGTCCACTCAGAGGTCGGGGTGTCCGAACCCGAGTGGAGCGAGTGTGAATCGCTCGTATAGTTATAGTTTTTGAAAAGAAAACTCTTTGAAAACCTTGTGATTTTTTTCTTTACCTGCCAGCTTACTTCCTGCATTGGCTTAGGTACGCATTAAACCTATTTGCAAGATATTCCAACACCAATTTTAAGTTTTGTTCGAATACAAATTTCCGCCTGCTTCCTTTGTGATCAATTTCTTTTCAGCTTCTTTGAAATAAGTTCCTTGTTGTTATGCATTGTTGGAGAGCTAAGAAAAAGGTTATGTTTTTTGAATAACCTGCAAGCCAAGTTTTATAACGTTTTTTTTTGTTTTAAGCCATTTTAGTGGAAAAAAATAAAAAAAAAGTAAATAATATCGGTTTTCGTCACGCATTTTTAAATTTGGACCGATAAATATTGTCGTAATATTGATAAATAACCTCACCTCTATCGCCTCCTAACGGGAATACGTTGAATTAGTTGTAGTTAAAATATTCTTCTATATAAATAAAACTGAATGTTGGTAAGCGCATAACTCAAGACTAGCTGGACCAATTCGGCAAAAAAAAATTTTCGCATGTACCTTAAGGTCCAGGGAAGGTTTGGTTTTAATAAAGGGTAAAAATGAAAAATTTACAAAAAAAAATATTAAAATTTATATAGCTAACGGTGGCTAATAACTATTTATATCTATTTAAAACTTACCTAGCGACAAACCCGACCGAAGTGAGGGTGAGCCGCTAGTTACTAAATAAATACAAATTTCTTGAGAAGTAGATTCTAAATTTCAACAAATTCAGTGTTATCTTGAATCGTTTTAAGATACCTTAAAATTAACGTTTCTGTTTCTTGTTGTTGTGTTATTAATTTCAACACACTCAGATCTTGAACGACTGAGATGTGATTAATAAAAAAACTCATATTGAAACTTTTAAGTCTATCCATCATCAGAAGCCTAAGGCATTTAAAATAAAACCGGCCAAGTGCGAGTCGGACTCGCGCACGAAGGATTCCGTACCATTATCTATAAAAACGGCAAAAAATCACGTTTGTTGTATAGGAGCCCCCCTTAAATATTTGTTTTATTTTAATTTAATTATTTATATTTGAGGTGTATATATTATAATTAAATATTCTGGGAATATTTCAAGCGTTTTCCTGTTGCCGTTATCAATATCGAGCAAAAACGAGCAAAAAAAATCATGATTGTTGTTTGGGAGTCCCCTTAAATATTTATTTTATGCTGTTTTCAATAGGTATATATTTGTTGTTATAGCGGCAACAGAAATACATCATCGGTGAAAATTTCAACTGTCTAACTATCACGGTTCACGAGATACAGCCTGGTGAGAGACTAACAGACAGACAGACAGACAGACAAACGGACGAACAGCGGAGTCTTAGTAATAGGGTCCCGTTTTACCCTTTGGGTACGTAACCCTAAAAAGCTCAATTGCATAGAATAAAGCCCAACTTTCTAACAAAATTAAACTTATAATCAGTTTCAGACTAGATCTTGTGTATTTAGGTCACTATCTTCTAGACGTGAGTCTACTACAATGCCGATAAAGAAAACGGTCGGCCCGATGATTTTAAGGGTTCATATACAATCTTTGGTCACTTATAGCAAACCTTAATCCCTATATGATAAAGCTCAATTTTGCACAACTACACTACACTGTAAAATGTTCGATCGAAGTTCCGAGAACATACGATTGAAATTATACTTTATCGTCATTGAATAAAGTAGATTTTTCAATTTTCAGTATTTTTGTACTGTTAGTCTCAAATGCAACGCTCTAAAGGCTACTTTCGAATAACCAAAACAGTGTGAATAAAAGTACAAAAATATATATTCCGTTATTATAGGTATTATTGCTTTGTGATAAGGTATATTTTTGAATATTTTTTCGCTTTTGACAAGTTTTGCACGCGATATGACAGCGGGTACTCGTGTGCGACGGAATGCAACGAATTGCGTGCTACACATGGGATGATTAATGAGAAATCTATATACTCGTACATAAAAAATATATCAGATTGTCAGTGCAACGGGGCTTGACCTTAAGCTTGTAAGCATTTTACATAAGAAATGTTTATAAGATATCCCTATCTAATAAAAGTTTAATAAATATATGTATGTATGTATGTATGTATGTATGTATGTATGTAGTATGTACCTACAACGTATAATACTAAAACTAGTAATTTTACATTAAATTTGAGCTTTTTTGCAACACTGTCAAAGCGTGAGTCACGCTATTTTTGTGTCGGAAAGTCGAATATTATATAATTTTCTAACGTTGCTAAAATTACATTTACGTATATAATAAATACATTCTCTTCATAATTTAGCTATTATTTAATATCTTAGTCATTATATATAATTACTAGCAATTCCATTTATTAAATAGAATAGCCATGTTACATATCTATCTCATTTGTCGTTATAAAAATATTTGCATGCTGAAATAAAATATATATTTTAAGATAAATCTAATAAATATTACCTCATGTACAACTTTGTAGTGCGTCGTTCGCTTAACATGAGGCAGTTGGTTACCTTTTTTCACTTTTTTCTTACGAAATCTGTATCGCACGGTAGGTAGTATTTTTTATCAACAAAAATGGTCATGGGTTGGATTGTGAAAAATATAGTGAAAGTGTTCGTAGAAGGATTTCAATTGGCTTTTATCCACGACTTTGCTTGCTAAGTATTAATCTATACATATAATAAAATTCTAACTGAGTCGATTCTGCACATTAAATATTTTTTGAAAAATATTATTGAAATAGTCATTATTATCGATACAGAGGCCGAATCTATAGTTTTTAGAACATTTGTCTGTCTGTCTGTTACCGCATCACAAGAAAACCACTGATCAAATTTTGATGAAATTTGGTATGATGATAGCTGGTTATCCGGGCCAACTTTAGGATACTTTTTACTGTGGCAAAATATCTCATCTTTGAGAAATCTATACTAAACGTTTGAACGTAATAATAAAATGTGGTAACAGTTGGTTTTTTACATGATTACCTCGATTTTCAATGATTATGGTTGATTTTCGACAACTAGACGAACAGTTATGATTATAATTTTACACAATGTTAAAATACATATAATATGTATATGTCACTAACAAATTACTTATGCTTCGCGCGGTAGCATTCCTAGGTGCCTATTGTATGTGTAATATGATATTAAATTTTACATACATATTTTCATTGCTAACGATAGCCTATAACCTATTGTTACAATATACTCCATTTGGATACTAAATTTATTCTGAATTCTTCCAGCAGTTTCAACGTGAAGAAGAAACAACCAAACACATACATAATTGTCATTTCAATAAATTTAGATTTCATTGATTTTAGAATGTCTAAAACTGTTGTATATCCATATTAATATTATAAATGTGAAAGTGTGTATGTTTGTCCTTCTTTCACGTAGAAACGGAATGACGGATTAGTATGATTTTTTTTATGTGGAGATAGTAGAAGGGCTTTTAGGCTAGAGATCTTATTCCCACGGGAAAACACGTTATAATACAGCCCAAAAGATATTTATGATCAGAATTCCTTGAAATTTGATATTAACGCTCTTCAATACAATTAAATAAATATGTGTTTTAGCATTTTTCGAAATTCATCCCATGAGGGGGTAAAACATGGCATGAAAATTTGTATGAAATCTACCTTTTTAGAGTTTTTTGTAGGTCAGGTTCGGCTAGTGTATTATATATTATATTATTATAAATATTATAATGTAGGGATGTCTAGATGTTTCTTACTCTTTCATGCAAAAACTACTGAATGGATTTTAATGAAACTTAATATAGCTCATTCATACCATACATAAGAATAAAACATAGGCTACTTTTTATCCCGGAAAAATATACGGTTCCCGTGGGATACATTTGTTTTTTCTTCTAGAGGCGAACCCAAGTGAAGCTAGGGTGAACCGTTAGTGTTTAACAAAAATAAACAAATCCATCGACATAAATTCACAAGCGCTGGACAAAAGCTATAAGAATGCACATAAAAAGATTTTTGGATTTTCAACCTAAAGAGGTGGCCTATTTAGTTGTTAAGAAAAACTTAATAGCATAAATATTACACTTGATAAATGGACGTAAAATAGCAACGTTCAATGGAACTTTAATTATATTAAACTTAACTTTTTGTTAATTCTGGGGCAAATAAAATGAAACATTATTTAAAAATTCTCTCTCTCTCTCTATCTCTCTACCTTCTGAACTCTCATAATAGCGGATAAATAAAAAGCAAACGATTGATTAAGTAATAAAGCTTTAAATCCAACAATAAATATATTTTAGTAAGATCAAAAGTATTTCACAATAATTTAAATGTGTAATATTACTTAAACAGCTCAGTTTTTTTTGAGAAATTCTCTCGTATTCTTTCTAAGAATATCAGTAAAACCCAGTTTATAAGTTATAACGTATTCCAAAACTAAGCGTCGTCCATTTCTCGAAACACGTTATTTTTCCAAAAATTTAATAAAATACGCCATTTTGATTTTTACGTTACTAATTATACAGTCTATATTAAATTAAATCAAATATGAACGCAAAATTACGAATTGCGGTCACATAAACCGTATTTCGTAAACAGTAGAGTTCAAATACCATTAAATTATTGTTTATCTTACTTCTAATTTTTCACAAATTTATTTCAAATAAATTTAAACTTTATTTATTAGTTAAAGAGTTTAATTTCCAAATATTTCTTTTTATGGTAAATTTGTGTTAGATGGCCCACAAAAATATGACAAAGGGTCTAAAGAACAGGTTTTAAATTTATGGCGTGTGAATTTTTTGTGTGCGTGATATGTTAACGTGTGCGTGTGTGTGCACTTGCCAAACGCCGCAGGGGCTGGTAAGGGGTGAGAAATAGGGGTGGCAGTGCTAATTAAAAATATTTATTTTTTAATTTTTAATAATTTTTTTGCAGTAGTAGTGCAGTGGTAACGTGCTCGTTTGGGAAATTGGATTAAGTGGGTTCAAGTCTCGGTTCTCACACTTTT